ATGCTGCTAAAAACACGCTACAAAGCTTGGTGGCCCGCCACGGCGGAAGTGTTACTGTTGTAGCTGGTGTATCTAACCCTGAAACTTTCACTCCTATGGCCGGGGTAATTCCCACAAAAGCTAACATGTGGGACAAATACGCCTTGGCCGAGACCTTGAAGGAACGAAACTACGCTCGGTTGTTTCTGGTTTTGCCAGGGCACGCAGATCGGTTGCACGTGGGTATGAACGGTCTCCATGCCGCCAGGGAAGCTGGAATCAAGCAGGTTGTTGTGATTTCAGTGCTCACCGCTGATACTCGCACTGACGTTGACGGTCACTTTCGTCCCCTCAAAGACGACGTTAAAACACTTGGGCGTGTTTCGACTGTGGGGCGTGAAGACAATGACGCAGCTTCTTTGGATGAGTCTCCTCCTCCTCTTCCTCTTCTCGCACAAGCCCCAATGGTCCGACGCATCAGTTCAACAAGCGTCAGAAACAACGTCAGCTCTGATCATTCCTCTGCATCCGGTGGATCGCAGGATGTGTCAGATCCATCCAAGTGCCTCCGAATTCAGCGAAGGAACATTGTTGAGGGTTGGTTCCCCATGAAGGTGAAGATCGTTCAGTTCTCGCTTCCCAGCTTTGACCCCAAGTCCAGAGCTGGAAAGCCAGTCAACGCGACAAGTGATAATGGTATTTCCCTCCTGGAACAGGCTTTGATGGGTCCTTATCATTCAAAAGTGGCTACCGCCTCGGGAATTCCAACCACTCCTGTTGATGATAGCCACGTGGCTGGATCGTCGCAATTGCCTGATGATGGCACACTCTTGAACAAGGCCCCAACAGTCTGGCAGGAATATCTGGAGTCTCTGGTACCGCCAGGGGAGACGGTGGAAGTCCCCAAGGAAATATCTTTCACAGCATCTCCTACTCCGCTAGCTCCCGCTGCTGTGGCTCCAGTTCACCATTTAATGTTGCCAACATCGACCGGTTTTCCCCTCAAGCTGATCAACGTCCTGTACAGAACGATAGACTGGTGGGCCTCATCCAAGCACTTCAAGCACGACAACGTGCCTTGACTTATCACCCTGGCTGGATGTAATAAGTCTTCTTTATATTTTTCCGAGGGCATGTTTGATGGGATTCATCCAGGCCGACATCACTTGACGTTCAAGATTAGGATTGCATTATTTGTCCATATAATAAATAGTTGTCTCCATTATCAACCGTTCCATCTTCGAATAGACTTGTCATGTGTCGGCTGTCGCTGGATGTCTGCACACCATGGGCTGCTTCCTGTCACGTGATCAGGTGATTGTCAATTTATTGGACCATGGGAAATGATGATTTTGAGGTCTACTAGAGTGATCTCTTCAGCCGGCAAAACCATCACCTATGGTATTCCGCTTGTCGACGAATGCCCTGGAGGTCTGCTCTGTGATGGTAGCATCCATAAAGATGGACTGTTTGGTGGAGAAGAATGAGAGGAAGGTTGGATATCAAAAAAGAGTCACGGTGTCATGGTCTCGTCATGGTCTCGTCACGGTCGCAGTTTCCTTTTTCGGAAGCCATTCGAAGGTGTCTCGGGAGCTTCCGGTTTATGACGTCATTCTGCCATCAAAGTGGCGTTTGAGGGATCAGGAAAGCCAGTCTACCGGTAGCGGTACCGGTAGGATCGGATATCGGATCCTTCGGAGACACAGAGATTGCATGTCTCAATCTTCGAACAGACTTGCCTTCCATGCATCATGATCGGCTCTCGATAGCTCTATTGCTCTATCTAGTAGAGCTAACCACACCGACCCCACTGTGCATCGTCACAATTCCATACACCAGTCACCCCCATGACATCCTCAACGTGTGCTCCTTGCCTCGCCGGCAAGAATCTTCAGAAAAGCTTTCTCATTTAAGACGTGTCACACTAAAACCCAGATACGGCATGTCCGTCGTCGGGTTGGTCATAAATCGAAGTACCCCACTTATATAACATGGCTGGAATCAGCATTAGAAGCGCTTTCCAGTGGTGTGCTATTCGTTATATCTCGCCGTACAGGAAGAACACCCTAGAGCACTGAAACTAAATCTTTCCCACTGTAGCACTCGGTACAAACTCTACGTGAATTTAAAGCTAAGGATAAACTTTAATTCTCCAAAGTCATTCGTGCCCTCCGGACCATGACAGACGGTGCCGTCTGGAAAATAATGTGACACGTCTTATTTTCGTGGTGACTTCGGCTGCTTTTCTTCTCTGGAGTCACACGAACCAAATCAAAAGGTCAAAGGAAGAGGAGGAACGGAATCGCAGATTAGGATCCAATCGAGTCTTGAACACTGAAATTGTGAGAAACACGGCGATTGAGCAATATAATGTGGGAAAGCCCGTTGCGTGCTCTCTCATTCGAGCGGGCTTCAACCACAATTACCTCGTTGAAATGGGCAATAAGAAGAAGTATGTACTTCGAGTCTATCTCAACGACAAGTACTACATAAAAGACTCCAATGATTTCCGATTCGAACTGGATTTCATTGACTATTTGATCAAAGATCATGGGATTCCAACGGTACAGCCCATCAAAGCAAAGAACGGCGACTGGTTAAGTCAAATCCGGTTTGGAGAGCTACCCCAGGAAGGAGCAGCAATAAAAACAACCGCAGCAACCAACAACTTCATTCGGCACGCGGCACTTTTCGAATATGCTCCAGGAATTGAAGTGGCGAATAATAATATGGAGTTGACACCTGCCCACTTCAAGATCCTTGGAGAGTTGCAAGCTCGCATCCACCAAGCCGCCGATCAATTTACTAATCCTAACAATCATCATCGGTACCAACAGGATGTTTCGACATATCTTCTCGATGAACCGCTCAAAACACTGGAACGAGAACTATCCAGGTACAATATGCAGCAGCAGATGGACTTTTTTAAGCCAACTGCTCAAGCCATCCGCGACAAGGTGGCGAAACTACCAAAAGAGAAGCCATACTATGGTTTGAATCATGGCGACTTGCATCCTGGTAATATGTTTTGGGATGATGCCACGCAGACGTTTACTGTTATCGATTGGGATCATTCGGCCTATGGATGGCGTGTCTATGATTCCGCATCTATGGTCAGCCCGCACAAGTTGACATTCTTCTTGATGGGCTATGAATCTGTGCGTCCATTGTCGCCGGAGGAAAAGGAAGCGATACCTCTGTTTAGGTTGCTCAGAGACATTTGGGACTTTGGTGATATTCTCGCGTTTCAACCCTTGTGGGGAGATGATAATGCCAGTGATGAAAATAGGAAGGAAGAGCTCCGTGGCTACCTCGATCGGCTTCGTCGGGTTGCCACAGCTTTCGAAGAGCAGTACGGTGATGGCAAAGCGGCAGTAAATCAGGCGAACACGTTCTGAGAAGAACGTCTCACGGTATCATTCACAAATTGATCATCGCCTTTGCCACGGAGCCAAACCCGGTCCTTCTGCTTTGGCGGAGGTTGACAGGTCGCCTTTTTACTGCTACTATAGATTGATGAATACTGAGGTAGCCACCATTACTGCCGTGACACACTAGATTCGTTAGTAGTAGCTCGATGTGTCACGGCATGCACTTGGAGCTTCTTTGGACGGCATCCGCAGCCAGCCTCTCACATCAATGCAGCTGGGCTTCACTCTTCTAGTGATGGCAAGTTCGTTGTCATATTTGACCTGCACCACCGTGAAGTAAGCTCTCAATCACGCTCTTGCTTGGAAAGATGTCGTTCACAGTCACGTCCAAGGAGGGCACCATTTTCATCTGTTGCCCGTTGCCGTCGTCAAAAAATACAATCTCGTTCACATCGCCGTCCTTCAACATTGCTGGACAGCTTTGCTGGAGCTGGTCCACGCGATCGCAAATAAGACGAGTCATCCGCTCCAATTCAGACTGGTCAATTTCTCTGGTAGCAAAATCTTCCAAGCGCTCAAATTCGATTCTGTTGATATCTCGAAGCTTTTTGCGCCCGCGTCTTTGCCAGAATCTGACGTTGCCTCTGCATAGTTGGAGGCTAGCGCTGCTGATCATTTGAGAGAGCGTCTTCATACTTTGCTGTTTGTTGCCCAACTTTACTTCCGTCGGGGTTCCATTGCAATCGACTGCATCAACTTCACCGGAAATCAGCACCGTTGAGTCAATTTTTGTTTTAGAGCCTGAGCGAAAACGGGTCTGGTACCGTATGGTTAGCCTGTAACCCTAAAACGAGGACCAACCATTGATTGATTGATTGACACACCAAACAACAAAATCCGCAACAAGCCAACTCCATAGTTGGCGATTGCATGTCTCAATCTTCGAACAGACTTGCCTTCCATGCATCATGATCGGCTCTCGATAGCTCTATTGCCCTATCTAGTAGATGTAACCACACCGAGCCCACTGTGAATCGTCTCAATTCCATACAACAGTCACCCCCATGCCATCCTCAACGTGTGCTCCTTGCCTCGCCGGCAAGAATCTTCAGAAAAGCTTTCTCATTTTCGTGGTGACTTCGGCTGCTTTTCTTCTCTGGAGTCACACGAACCAAATCAAAAGGTCAAAGGAAGAGGAGGAACGGAATCGCAGATTAGGATCCAATCGAGTCTTGAACACTGAAATTGTGAGAAACACGGCGATTGAGCAATATAATGTGGGAAAGCCCGTTGCGTGCTCTCTCATTCGAGCGGGCTTCAACCACAATTACCTCGTTGAAATGGGCAATAAGAAGAAGTATGTACTTCGAGTCTATCTCAACGACAAGTACTACATCAAAGACTCCAATGATTTCCGATTCGAACTGGATTTCATTGACTATTTGATCAAAGATCATGGGATTCCAACGGTACAGCCCATCAAAGCAAAGAACGGCGACTGGTTAAGTCAAATCCGGTTTGGAGAGCTACCCCAGGAAGGAGCAGCAATAAAAACAACCGCAGCAACCAACAACTTCATTCGGCACGCGGCACTTTTCGAATATGCTCCAGGAATTGAAGTGGCGAATAATAATATGGAGTTGACACCTGCCCACTTCAAGATCCTTGGAGAGTTGCAAGCTCGCATCCACCAAGCCGCCGATCAATTTACTAATCCTAACAATCATCATCGGTACCAACAGGATGTTTCGACATATCTTCTCGATGAACCGCTCAAAACACTGGAACGAGAACTATCCAGGTACAATATGCAGCAGCAGATGGACTTTTTTAAGCCAACTGCTCAAGCCATCCGCGACAAGGTGGCGAAACTACCAAAAGAGAAGCCATACTATGGTTTGAATCATGGCGACTTGCATCCTGGTAATATGTTTTGGGATGATGCCACGCAGACGTTTACTGTTATCGATTGGGATCATTCGGCCTATGGATGGCGTGTCTATGATTCCGCATCTATGGTCAGCCCGAACAAGTTGACATTCTTCTTGATGGGCTATGAATCTGTGCGTCCATTGTCGCTGGAGGAAAAGGAAGCGATACCTCTGTTTAGGTTGCTCAGAGACATTTGGGACTTTGGTGATATTCTCGCGTTTCAACCCTTGTGGGGAGATGATAATGCCAGTGATAAAAATAGGAAGGAAGAGCTCCGTGGCTACCTCGATCGGCTTCGTCGGGTTGCCACAGCTTTCGAAGAGCAGTACGGTGATGGCAAAGCGGCAGTAAATCAGGCGAACACGTTCTGAGAAGAACGTCTCACGGTATCATTCACAAATTGATCATCGCCTTTGCCACGGAGCCAAACCCGGTCCTTCTGCTTTGGCGGAGGTTGGCTGGCAGGCCGCCTTTTTCTACTGGAGCTGAGGCAGTGTTTGGAGCCATTCTCTGGTTTGAGTGAGGTCTGCACCAATTCTAGCTAACCGGTCCAGCAACACGTTAGTGCTGCCCCCTGTTTTGATATTGAACATATTTTTGAAGCGCCCAAATAACCGTGTTTCCCAGTTTCTGACTCTTGATGGTAGACACACCTTCTGCTACTATAGATTGATGAATACTGAGGTGCGTAGCCACCATTACGGCCATGACACACTAGATTCTTAGGAGTGGTTCGATACCGTATGTCACGGCATGCACTTGAAGCTTCTTTGCGCGGCATCCGCAGCCAGCCTCTCACATCAATGCAGCTGGGCTTCAATCTTCTAGCTAGCTAGTGATGCCAAGTTCGTTGTCATCTTTGTCCTACACCACCGTGAAGTAAGCTCTCAATCACGCTCTTGTTTGGAAAGATGTCGTTGACAGTCACGTTCAAGGAGGGCACCATTTTCATCATCTGTTGCCCGTTGCCGTCGTCAAAAAATACAATCTCGTTCACATCGCCGTCCTTCAACATTGCTGGACAGCTTTGCTGGAGCTGGTCCACGCGATCGCAAATAAGACGAGTCATCCGCTCCAATTCAGACTGGTCGATTTCTCTGGTAGCAAAATCTTCCAAGCGCTCAAATTCGATTCTGTTGATATCTCGAAGCTTTTTGCGCCCGCGTCTTTGCCAGAATCTGACGTTGCCTCTGCATAGTTGGAGGCTAGCGCTGCTGATCATTTGAGAGAGGGTCTTCATACTTTGCTGTTTGTTGCCCAACTTTACTTCCGTCGGGGTTCCATTGCAATCGACTGCATCAACTTCACCGGAAATCAGCACCGTTGAGTTGCCGATCTTCATCAGCTGGAGGTTTTCTGCTTCACTATGGTCGTACGGCGGTTCAGGGGAAGTTCCAAGAAGGAAACGTTCGAATTGGTGGCCATGTGCAGACAAGTTATTCGTGTATGCCTTGTACCGGGAAACGAACAAAATTCCGGTGCTTGGTATTCTCATCACGATAAATTTCTCTCCATCATCTTGCAGCTCACCTGTAGCCAAGAGGAAGAGCGAATAACTCCCAAACATAAAGTTGACAGATTTCGGGTCGACACCTTTGTGATTGGTGGCCACATACAAAGAAGCAATTGAGTGTTGACCAAATGGGAACAAGTTCTCCACGAGGAAGGGTTCCAGAAAGGAAAGCTTTCTTGGAAGGGTTGCTCTCAATGCCTGGACGTCCAGGATGGTTTTGGGTTTTCTCGTGAAGTCAATCATTTGCCGAATATCTTCAGCAGTGACCGAGGAAAGGGGATTGTAAGATCCTGTTGGATTCCAGCCGTAGTAACCCAAGTCACTGAGAGGTTCCAACTTGTCTTGGATCCCAATCCTCGTCAAAGCTTCTTTCAATTCCTCGTTCGGCGGTGGAAGATCAGTGCTTCCATCGCTTGAAAATCTAATGTGCAAAGAAGAAGACCATTTTGCAAATGGTGGGTGCAGAATTGATGCCCGGTAGCCTTGTTGGAAAGATGTTGCCTTGTTTACTACCGAAACGGCAAAAAACCTTTTAAATCCAACCAGTCTCATGGTGATGAATCAACCTCACCTGAGATAAGACGATAGACGCAGTTAAGGTGTCATGTTGGATGGGTTGTGTCCTTGCGACCCCGCAATTTTTGCCGCCAATAAGGTGTCTCGGAAGTCGTTTCTCTCATTAGAGCGCAGGTTCAGGAGTTTGCTAGGAACAGCCCCCCCAACAGGGAGAAATTCTCTCTGTTTATACCAGCTAAGACTCATGTGCGCAACACAAGAAAACCAGCCTGTACACTTATCAAAATTTTACTGGAAGTGTCAAAACTTTAGAATAAAATTCCAAAATATGATAAATTGATTCTAAACACCTTGATTTTAAGAGTATCCGTGACATGATTTATTGCCTTGGTTCAAACAAGCCACAAAGTTGGCCTGAAAAACAATGCTGAGGACTACAGGATGAACTCAACCAATATGCACCTACACACCAAGCTAAAATTAAAGTTATCTACTTCTTTGCTTGTCGCAGCCATGTGCTGGTTGTAGTGGTAGCAGCCGTGTAGAAGGCTTATCTTATGTCAAGCTAGATGCTTCATTTTTCTTCCAAACTATTTCCAAGTTCTCAGCTTCACCTTCATTTTGGACTGTGTACCCTTCGCTATAACCCAATCATCTATTGATCTAAGACACATTGGAGAATCATACCATGAACTAGTAGATCCTCGAGTTAATAGAAAAAGTAGCCCAGACCACAAATCCAATATGAGCCAGCACCAACTCCAGCACCTATTCTGGTGTTCTTCTGATAGTAGTAATAGCATTAGCCATTCCAATCTTTTTTGTTTGTCTAACTGAAGGAATTGATCAATCAGATGGGTAAATGGGGCAGTAGTGGGGGATAGATGGGCCGTCCTATCAGTGAGAGTAAATTTGCCAGAAAATGGCTGCCCTACTTTGCTGGCCATTCGTGCTCATGACTGGAAATCACAAGCCACTACCACCACTGCGACGGCACGTCAATTTATGTATCCCTTCTCAGGGTATTGTAGGGGGTCTATTTGCTATTCTGGTAGGGTAGTGTTGGCCACAAGGAAGAGGAATCAAAACTTGGTTTTTTTTGTTCTGGAACATGTGCCAACAAACACAAAGAATTCTGAGCATTCAGGTGCTGTTTCCGGTGTGTTCCTGAGGTTCTCACCAAAATTCTCCGTTGGGCCATTCTCCCTGTTGGCTGTTCCTAGTTTGGTGCAAAAGTCTAAAAACCTGTGGACACACTACGGAAAGGTAATGTGGCTTGTTTCATGTATGTTTACTTGAGGCTATCTAGCTAGCTATCGGTAGCTAACCTAAGCCGAAGTTGCAAGACTTCAGTATGGAGTCTGCGACACTATCATTGCCGATTTTGGGGATCAGAGAGCTCAAATTGCGTTTGCAACTTTTCAAGCCACGGAAGAGATTAGCCACAGACGAGAGCATGCATGCCCCATATGGATGTTCAGCTGCTGCTTCTCAATCTTCGCCCAGCACCGGTACAGTACGGCAACTCTCCAGCAAGGAGCGATAGCAAACCTTCTAAGCCGCAGTTTGCTTCGGTACCTAGTACTGTATCTGCTACACTCACAGTGATTTTTGCGGGGATCATAGAGCCCAAATAGCGCTTGTGCTAGTGTTCACGCACTACAGTAGCGGGTCAGCCAGCTTCAGCGCAGAAGTGACTGTCCAAGCCATGGGCCACTGAATGGCACATCTGGCAGCATGCCGGTACCAGGAGCTCTAGCTGGTGGAGCTTTCAGGTACTAGTACGGTATTTGTTTTAAAATCTATCTTTGTCTTATGTATGCTGCAGTGATAGCTGACGTTGCCTTCTCGTCTCAGAGTGAGATCCTACAAAGCCCAGTTAGAAGACAATCGACGATGTACCCAGACTCTGTTTCGCCTACGGTACCGTACCTGGTATGATACCTCTCTGGAGAAGACCAATGACCGTAGTCTCATCTCAACTAACTTTAAATGCATGATGTTTACTACTACTAATTCCGTGTATCTGATGATCACTGACTCTCGTTTCCAATCAGCAAGTTTCCATTGCTTCATTTCAACATTGGCTGGCTGGTTTTACGCCACATCGGGAACGCCACAGCGCATATTGGCTGGCACCGCCACATCAATCTTTTTAGGATATGCCAAGTTCAAGTTCTTCATAATCTCCACAAACTCTTCCTTTGTCTTTCCTCCACCCAACCTTGGGTTGGTTTTCTTTTCATCTCCCATTTTGGAAGATGTGCGGCCCTTGTAATCATGAGCTGGGTACACAATGGTTTCATCGGGCAAGGTAAACAGTTGGGCGTGGACCGAGTGAAAGAGCTTCTCAGCAGATCCACCCTGAAAGTCGGTACGGCCACACCCTTGAATCAAGAGGGCATCACCCGTCAAGACAAAGGATTCATCGTCGGCAACATAGGACAGGCATCCTTCTGTATGACCAGGGGTGGCTCTCACTGTCACACTGCGAGATCCAAAGACAATCTTGTCTCCATGTCGCACTGGAATGTCGGCCTTGGCACGTGATGCCTCAGCAATGACAGATTGCAAGCCCGGCAGTTTGGATTTGAGCAGTCCTGTTCCTGTAATGTGGTCAGCATGGGCATGAGTGTTGACACCATAGACCAAGTGGAGTCCCAATGCTTCCATTTCTTTCAAGTCCCGGTCGACTTGAATGTCAACAGGATCGACAATAATGGCATCCTTAGTGGCGGGGTCCCACAGCAGGTATGTGTAGGTGGAAGAATCGTCGTCAAACAACTGCTTGAATCCCATGGCATCTCCTGCCTTGACAATGGATCCTTTTCCAGGTGTGGTGGTAGAAGTGCACATTTTCGTTGTTTGGATTGATTGAAAGGGGGGAGAATATTCTGGTGGTTTGTGTTGTGAGTGTTGTGAGCGGAGAACTATATTTTCAGTTGCTGAATTTGTGAGAATACCGGTACGACTGTATTGAATCTGACACTTCCTGGTTGTCTGGGTGTGGCTCTTTTTCTGTTTTTCCGACCGAGCTAGTAGTTATCCCGGGCTCTTGCAACGATAGAAGAAGACTCGACTCTCATCATCTTGCGGGTGTTCGGGACAACTTAGTTGGGTGATCTTTGTTGTCCACGGGGTTTCTTTCTCGCGGCAATTGGAAACAGGCCGAGGCGGAAGAATGTCAAATAATATCCCGCGACCCCCCATTTATTCTCAGAAGAAGAGGTAAATCCATTGGAACCAACCGTGGCCACCAAATAATCTTTCAGTTCCGACACAGAAAAGAGAGTGACCATGGCGAAAGCCCAAAAGAGGCAAAAGAAGAATGACACCAAGGAGTCCAAGTCTCTTCCAAAGTACGGTTCGAAAGAGTATTGGGAACAGCGGTATGAAAAGGTGCTGCCAGATTCCGAAAAAGATCCCAAAGAGGTTGCCAACGACGAGGAAGAGCCCGATGCCTTTCACAACTGGTACTTTACGTATCATGATTTGCGACCCATCATATTGCCGTTGATCATGGGAGGAAAAGAAGCAGCACAGTCGTTGTTGGAAGACAAGAATGATGATTCAGCAAGGGACGAAAAAGATGATGATGAGGATCCAGACAATTCGGACTCGCCCAAAGATGACGATGATGGTGAAGAGAATGAAGAAGAAGGCCAAGAAGACGGCGACGATAATAATAAAGAAGAAGCAGAGAACAACGATGGTTGGGAAGAAGCAAGCGACTCTGATGATAACGACGAAACCACTGAAGAATCCAAACTGGAAACGGGACTTGCCATTGTTGGGGAACCCATTTCTGTGCTGGAAGTGGGCTGTGGCGATGCGCCCTTGGTTGTTGGTTTGGCCGACGATTTGAGCCGAGTGAATGATGACGACAACCAAACGACATTGTTGGTTCATCGCATTGTCGGCACTGATTATAGTTCCAATGTCATTAGCGCTTTGAAACGAATGCACCAAAAGAAACGCAAAGCGAATGGCGAAAAGACAGACAAACAGCAACAACGACAACTTGCCATGGAATTTCAGGAGGCAGATGCTCGCAAGCTGCCGTTTCCCGACAAGTCCTTCCATTTGATCTTGGAAAAGGGAACTATGGACGCCATGATTTCGGATCCTGACGTGGGAGTTTCCAATTGCATCCAGATTGTCAGCGATTGTGCGAGAACGTTGGCTATTGGGGGTAAGTAGTGCATCCCTGATCCAACTTTCTCTTGTCTTTCCTGGTATATATGAATGCCCATCCTAATGTTTGTTGTCGCTCTCCTACTTTTTGCAGGCTGTTTCTTTTTGGTCTCTCATATCAACGCCCAAACAGAAAAAGGCGAAGAGTGGTTGAATGACGTTGTCGTGACAGGTCTTCGAAAGGGAGGGGGTGACGACGCCAGCTGGTCCATTGAAGTTCATGGAAATGCTGCACCAGTGCTGGACGAAGAAAAGGACGACAACAATGAGGATTCGGCAGGGCCAGCCGTTTACTTGATTTTCAAGTCTTCATCAACAATAACGAAAGACAAAGAGAAGGAAGGCTCTGACGAAACTCCAACAATTCCTCTTCAATTCTTTTCCTATTGAGCGAAACACCGCAACAAACAACTTGCACTCCAAGAAGAGCTGATACTCTTCGTTTCTCAACGCCTGTGATGCCTACCTGGCGAGTCTGTAGCCATGGACGACGGAAGAGCGCTCGTGAACGGAATGCAGATACTCTTTGCTGCGGCGTTAACATGGTGATGTCCTTCTGCTAGAAAACGGCTTGCCCAAAAGTTGGGCTGTCGGCAGTCTCCAATGGAAGATACGTGACAACAAACTTCCTATCTAAGGGGCAATGAAGTTGTGATTAGTTGTCATGAATCAATACTTACTTGAAACATTACCAGCTGCGGCGCTTGCCTTGTAATTGTTCAGAGTTGGGTTTATGAGGGTTTCTTCAAAAGAGTACACTGACAAAACTTGATGTTACATACATGTAATGGATGGGTCCAATAGAATGATCCATTCGAGACCGAGCAGAAAGGAGAGAGCCCCACATCAAACGCATACTAGCTAGTAGACGCACAGATGACGCGAAGACAAAAAATGTGCCGATTGAAGATCTTATGGCCGGTGCACGTGCAACGAGGAGGCGTGCGGGAGCAAATATTTGGCTCGTTTCTGTTGTCGCGGCTGTACCTGGTACATGTACCTGCACTCAACCAAGGACAGCCTGGGGTGTTTCTACCATGGTACCGGTTAGAGTGCAATAGAAGCAACGCAGGAAGCAAAGAAAGACCACCCTTTTAAAATAGCTAGATCCTTCAAGGTCCCTAAACGAGCGGCACAGTGCCGTGCTTCGCATAGCTAGTGGAGGAGAAGAGCCAAGTATGCGAAGAGCCGACGAAATGTGGATGTGAGACCAGATTTGGCTTCCCTGACAGCTTATTCTAGAACATCAGAAAATTGCGTTTCCTAGCTACCGGTACCGCATTGGATGCGGCCATGACACTACAGTGTATGCTGCCCCAATACGTGATGCCCTTTTGAATCTTCCAACCTGAATAATTGGCTGCTGGCTAGCTGTCCTCGATGCTGACTGGTGGCATCACCTGAGGTAAAAGAACTCGCTTCTTGGACCTTCAGAACTGGCAGTGCCAACCACAACATCACAAGTGTGGGCTTCTTGGCAACAGTTCGTTCGATCATCATGCGCGCTTGTTCTGATCGAATGAATTGGCTTGTCAATCTTCTGACATCAACTATGCAGACGTACCTCTGGACCATTGGCATTCTCAAAATCCATGAAGAAAAATGCCTGATGGCCGCACTCGTACCCCCAGTCAACGTCCGCAGGGCTTCACCCACCGTTGCATGCAAGAAGCCAGGGCAAAATAGAAATCTCTGTTGTGGTGCGTATTTTGTTGACCGGGACCAACAGCCAAGCCAATAACAGCAACTGGCAAGCAGCCTACCGGGACCTGTTGCGTGCGCACCAAACGGAGCGTATGTATGCAGCGAACTGTCGGACCCATGAACCAACTTTACATCCGTCTTTGCCACCGTCAAGCACCAGCAATCTGGCTACTCTAGTACATGATGTAGTCGCAAATTTTCGACAAGTCCCGTTTCAGCGAAGTTCAATGACGTATGAAAACTAATGACCGTTCAAAGAACACCACGTCCTCATAAATGACCTTTATCGAGATCCTGTGTACAGTATGGGCATAGAGTCATTCCCCTTTCTCTCATTGCGTCACAAAACTTCAACGGTGATAAACCCTGAGTTCTTGCTGTCAACTCGAGGTCAACGGTCTTGACACTTGACAGCATGAGGATGTCAAGAAACTGCTTCTGAAGCAGGCAGAAATTGCACTCAGAACGTTTGGCCATACGGCGCAGCCAATCAATGGATGTTCTTGACAATAGCATTCGATAGCATTCGGTGTCATCTCAACACAACAATTGCAAAGCGCAACGGCCCTCAGTGAGGTTTTGACACGAGCAATCTGTGCTTGGTGGGACCGTGCTTGGAGCGAGCACCAGCCATTTTGAAACCTGTTTGTTTCGAAGCAAGAAGCAAAACGCCACCAAATTGAGTCGGGACATTCTCACAATTCCTGATTCTCACTATCTGGAGAAAGAACAAATCAACAAATACTTCCCTCTATCTTAGTGACTCTTCGCCTATCACCATGACCTCTGTTGTTTCCCAACGCGTTCTGGCTTGTGCCATGCTCCTGTGTCTACATGCAGCACTCCCAGCCCATGCTTTTCTCGATACTGTCAGAGCAGAACCCTCCAGAAAGGGTTCTTCCTCACAGTTGTCAATGGCATGGACGCTGCCCACGTCCATGAAGCCTTCGTTCCAGCCCACTTGGTATCAAGATTGCGGAAACCCCACCGTGAGGCAAGTCGTATACGAAGACGATTACTTGTTTGGAGATGAAGATTCATACGAATTTGCGTTCCGCAACTATGGCAGTGACTGGTCCTCTGATTTGGAGGGACCTGGCGCTGACACCGAGCTACAGCCAGACCACCTCCCACGAGGAGCTCGCATCAGCCGCGCCGCTCGACGTGCCTTGAGCGGTATCCGCAATACTTTGCGACCCTAATAAGAGGAGGCCAGCCAAGCCATGCTTTTCCGTTCTTTCGGCACCACACGGCACAACCAAGATTCACTCTGCTATTCATGCACTCTTCATGCTACTGTTGCTACGCTACTTTCACATCACTTGAAACCACCACTACTGCTACGAACCCTTGCTGCGGCTCAAGAATGTATCACCATCATCATCTTTTATACACTACACTGTATCTGGCATGTACAAGACCATATCAACGCCATTCTTAGAGGCACTGCCAGTTACATTGCTACCCACCATCATAACGACACACAGGCCCACACCATCATGCTATTAGCTATTTTTAATTAACGGATAGATAGACTTTTATCATTTTACAAAAGCTGCATCGTTTCAGATCGCTCGGGATGGTTTTTACTAGTAATACCAGTACCTGTGTCATTGTGAAGCAAAGATGGATCTTGTTTGAAGCCACTTATTTATGTCTCGGTGGATCCCACAGAGTCACGCCTTTTGGCCCCGGTGTTGGTCCTCAGTTTGTCGCCTCGGTTCCCATGGAACCTAGTCCTGAATGTCACCTATTCTTTTGCCTCTAGAAGCCTGGCCCCTCGTTGGCTTCCATACACGTAGATAACTTCCCCATTCCCCACTCTAAAACCCCCTGGCATCCTGTTTGCGTTGCTGTTCCTTATTAGGGTTGTCGAGCTCGGTCTTTAAAAAATTGAGTCCACGGATTTGTGGCTGTTGACAAGCTAGATGGCTTATTGATTCCACGATGGGCTGGGATCTTGACTTGGAAGACCCCCAATTGGCGCACTTCTCATTATTTCTCGCGGGGAGAACGCAAAGCACGAACGGAACACCCTGCGAGCTGGCTATGTGTTGCATGTGGATTGCTCAGATTTGAGGTTCAAAAGATTTGAACGCAGTCCCATTGACTCGATCGTTGCCGATTGTCGGCTTTTGTTGCCTTGGTCTCTTGTAGGTTGTACATACATGTTGGCTGAAGTGTTCGGAGTGCTAGTAGTACTACAGAGACCTACTCAGGCGAACAAGAAATCTCCAACCAATGAAACATGTGATCATTCATTTGCCAGGTTCACAAACTGGAACTGAGGAAGCACTTCCTTACTTTCAAAAAGGAACTTTTCAAGTTTACCCCTCGTGCGCTCTACAAGCGTATCGTAGCTGTTAACAACGATGGAAGAACAAGATAATGGTAGCAATAGTGGCACTCTGGACGATTCTGCCATTCTGTGGAGTGACGATCCTGAGAAAGATTACCTTGAATACATGCTTAAACTAGAACGAGAGCAAAGAGCGAGCCGTGGTAAATCTGCTGAAGATAGCTTGGTGGGAGACGACACCATTGCCGAAATTCTTCGTGCAGGACCCAGTGGTGTCACGGTTCCGTCCATTGATGACGACAACAATGATCTTACTACCATGGAGGGTTTTTCGTTAACTACACCCAACCAACAAACAGCGCAGGATCAGTCTCCCCCGCGAAGACCACCATCCTCCTGGGAACGATTAGGTGGCAACACTCAACAACAACAACAACAACAACAACAGCCCGTTAAAGACTACTCGCTGATAGCAACTGGCTTTCCGAGCGACGAATCTAGCGATGCCAAGGCAAGCAAAACCATGAAAGAAGCACCGGGGAAATACAGTAATCAACACCCCAGCGTTATCTATGTTGCCGACAGAAGCCCACCTACTCCTCAGACTTTGTTCTCTAAAAATTCTTGGCAAGAAAGCAGTTTGGAAAGCAGCGACAAGGCTCCAGACGGGATGGTGGAACTAAGACGAAAGCTACCATACGTGGTCACACTCCTATCTTGCATCGTGATTGGTTCGCTGGTAGTCGCGATATGTCTGTCTCATTTTCTGACCAAGGCTGGAGCTCCGGACCATTCTGCAATCAACAGCAGAGTAGATCGAACTGGAGTCTTTGGTGTTGGTAATGACAAAGATGATAGGCTTGACGCCACGGCCATGCCAACGTTCTCTCCATATCCTTCCTATGAACAGACCTCAAAGCCAACCCAAGTTTCAACGTCTGCGCCTTCGCTTTCACCGACTGCTACAGTCTTGTGTGGTTGCCCATATTGTACCAGTGATGTCTTGTCAGCAGAAGTAGCGTTTGCCTTTACGTGTCACGATCGGCTTCAATTGCTGATGGAAGAGTTCATGCTCACGGAATCAGCCGCCTGTAACAAAGTGACAAGCGAGGAGTATCCAACTCTTTGCTCACCGGAACTCTGTGATCCGGCTCAATGTCAGTTGATGATGGAAGAAGATTTTGACACTAGTCAACCTCAACAAAGTACCGGTACCCCCTCAACGCAGTCTCCTACCCTTCCGGTGACTCCAGAACCGTCCACTCTTTCACCGACAACTCTGCCTCCAAGCCTCCGGCCCACTTTGCCTCCAACAACATTGCCTCCAAGTCTTCGGCCCACGACTGGTAGCCCCACTAACAGCCCCTCTTTGCGACCTTCAACCTTGTCCTTGACGTTTCAAGGAAACAGTGAGAATCGGCTGCAGCCTTTGGGCCGTTGTGAAGGAGACTGTGATAGCGACGACGACTGTGGAGAGGGCCTCATTTGCTATCAACGAGGCAAGAGGGACCCGGTTCCAGGATGTCTGCGTGGTGAACGTGAAAAGAGTGCCACGGATTTTTGTGTTCCTGAGGATGCCACCTTGGCTCCCACCACGGCAAAGCCAAGTCGTAGGCCAACACTGCCGCCCACACAGAGACCTACAACCAAGTGGCCGACGATAACACCGGTACCGCAAACGAATGCACCTACGAGTTGGAGGGTACTTGGGAATCCTCCTCCTACGTCTGATGGCAGGGAAGTAGTCAACTGGATGCCAACTTTGATTCCTACAGTAGTAGAAGAAAACGATGGTATTTTCTCCGTTCCTAGCCTTGCGTGTGGAATCCTTGGCCTTTTCTGTGGTTGACAAAATACATGAGGACAGCATCTGTGTTTGTGGTGGCAACGAAGGCAGTCAAGCGAGTGCTATGGGGAACTTTGCATCATCGATTGGCAAACCGGTACCGGTACGATCATCCCATGAAAAGAAAGAGTGACGCAGTTGAGGAAATATATATATACCGTACCGTAGCTATGAGCTCCCACCGAGACTTTGCCTCTATTGGTGTCGTGCCGCTACTCCATGTACAGTTTACAATGTGACCAAAGGTTACGTGTAAGAGTTTGCTTGCCAGGCCAAAGTCAGAAAGACTATATTTCAAATCTGCAAGCTTAAATTAAAGATTACAACTTCAACAGTGTCTGAAGCAGTCCTGAATAAATCGTCATCCTCTGTATTTTTTAAAACAAGAATTCATGCCATGACGCTCTGCTTTTGCCACGGTTGCTTGCCGATCAAAGCAGCATTGGTCTGACATCTGCTACAATATGCATAGAGCTAGCTAGACTGGCTAGTTAGAGTAGCGCTTCCAAGCTGGTACATGTACTGGTACTAGCTAGCCAAGAGTACCAGGTACAGTGTACTCGCTGATGGCCCAACCATTGGACTGGTCCGATAATCAAGGGCTGCCAACAACAAGTTAAGTGTCTACCATCTACCAGCTGCCTGGCAAGTTATGGGCAGGTACAACTGGAGATACCTAGCTAGTAGGTGGAACGAAGCCAACCTATAATGGAAACATTTCGGTCTTCATATCCTTCCTCAATACTAGCTAGCAAACACAAGATGCCAAGATACAAAACTGGCTAGGATTATACAAATAAGTATTTGAGGAGGTGAATTGTTTGTGTCCTACATTTGATGCTGCTTTTGTAAGTGTGCGTATTGTTGTCAACTACCATACATATCGAGGCTTCCATATTAGCACTACCGGCACCGCTGGTTAATGCTCTTCTGGCTATTGCTCTTCTTCTGTCACTTCACTCATGGCTCGTCGTCGAATAGTCATGTAATCTTCAAAGGAAGGAGGTCCAGTGACAGATTTACGCAGGTTGTCTGTCATGGAGACAAAAGCCGATCGGCGGCGCTTGTCGTTGGTGGATTGGGTATAAACAAAGACGTTCTTTTGATCTTCATTTCCAAACGACAGATTCACTTGGGAGCGCTTGAATGCCGCATCTGGTGTAAAGGAAGCGACGGCGCTGACCAAAAGCAGAAATGTAAATAGAAATCGTTGCATCTGATGAAAGAAAATGAAGGGAGAGCGATGAAAACAGATGAGAGTCGGATACTTGCAGTGCGGCGATAGAGGAGTGGAAATCGCGCCCACTGGCGGACTTCTGCATCCACAACTGTCTGCCAGATCCATCCCATCAATAAGGTCTCCCGTCGGTCCCAGTCCTCGTCTTCATTGACTTACATTGGATGTATACGATTGAATGGCGATAAACTTGAGCAGAGAAAGGATTCTATTTGGGACACAATCGAATTTTTGTGTCTTTCCTTTGGACAAACAAGAAAGCAGACCCGGGCAACGAGACAAGATTCAGTAACTCGTGATTCACCAGCAGGAGGTAGTTTCGGCTTTAGAAGATGCACGCAGAAGCGGCCAAAATTGGATACTATTTCTCGACAGCTTGATGTGAGTGACACAATGAGAGCCATTCATTTCGCTTTGACGATTGCTCGCGCTCCAAAATCCTTGCCACGTCCGAAGGGCAATAAAGATTCGAGGCCCCGGTCAGAGAGATTCATTCCATTGAATTCTGTCCAACTTGATGTTCTGAAGATATTTCAAGGACAGCTGGCGAAGACAGCTCGTAGATGGTCCACATGTAGTCTAAAAAGGACAAGGAGGCCATCGGCGGCGCGGTACGTGGTAGCCAAGGAGCTACGATGACGGAACATTTTCTTCCGGCATATCCACGCGGCGGGGATAGTGCTAGGGGCTATGGGCAATACCTTCAGAATGTTTCTGCTTCTCAGTCGTTGTGCTTTCGATGTTTGACTCGACTGAACGGAGAAGTGGTGGCATGACATTGTCACAAAGATGTTCAAGGCACGGACCTCCAAGCTATGGATAGGCAACCTGTCCGAGCGTTGTGCAAGCCAGAAACATCCGAGGGTGACATACAGTAAGAGCACCAGAATGTAGTGGAGATGCTACTTTGCATCCTGCTAACCGAAGTAGGGACAATAAAAGTGGAGATTATAATGTAGTTTTTAGTCTAAACACACTGTCAGAAACGGTAATAACGCGGAACTATAGCTGCTATCTTCCTTGCTGCTTCGATTGCTAGGTTGATTGGATCGGTGTCGTGTCTGCCTCTTCAGATGGAACCCTTGGCCTGGAACTTGTAGCTGGGGTCTCTCATGATTGATCCATCTGAACCCTTGACAACGAGACGATCTTGGCTTCGATCCAGTTCAAGGACACCGCCAATGTAAGCGTCGACATCAAAAGACAGAATGCCATCCTCAAGCCTCCTCCTGCTGCTGCCGGAGGTCTCACCAAACATGACAAGATTGGTGTCGCCCACCTTACCGGTCAATAGAAAGTGATCACCATCCTCGCCGACGTAGATCTCGACTTGGTCAAAGGATCCTTTTACTGCTCCCCGTTTGAGAGAAACATCACCGGAAGCTGAGCAGCTGGTACGGCCTCCCTCGGACCATACCACAACAATCTCGTCTCCGTCATCATTCTTCATGTCAATAATCCCATCGTTGTCACATCCATAGTGGTAGATGTAAGTGTCAGAATCCCAGGTAATAAAATGAGGAAGACGGCGCACCACGTTGGGATCATCTTGTTGCGCTTCACCACTGTTTTCAGCCCCCAAGCGAGCCTCAGCGCTCGGAGCGAAGAGGCAGACAAGTGCCACGATGATAGAAGCAACGGAATTCATTGAGATTTTCATGTTAGCTGACAAAAGAAAAGGAATTTGAATCTGTTGTTGGGTTTCTTGTGGTCTGGCTGGCTAGCTATTAATAGAGATGGAAATTGTGAGCTTTCAAAAACGAGAGAGCAACGAAATGCTGTTGGTGCGGCCAGTCTGGGATACTGGCGATCTTTCGGCTGGGAACTGTGACTCCATTTTTGGAAAGGGCCTCGAACAAGACGCATTCTAAGTAAACATCCACACAGTCCACTCACGGTTAAGGGCTGCTCTTAAGTCTCATATCTCCCAAGGCCAAATGGGCACCGGTACACCACACGAAGATACTACTGTGGTACCGGTATCGATATGGATCTTTGAGGCTTTCTTTTGCCACGGTACCAACAGGCGTTGAGGCAAGGGAAACCTTGTTGCTCCTGTTATTGTGTATGATCAGTCAATCTTGACACCTCTCCTTTACCTTGCAAGTTGGGGATTGAATAGACCGAAGTGGACAAGTAGACCCTCAGCCAGCACATAGTAATAGCAGAAGAGCCGACACGTTGGCCTCGATGGATTCGGGAGAGCTTTTTGAATGTTTTGGCGCAACAAGGCAGGTGTGGATGTCATTCTCCATCTATCAAGATCAATTGAAACAAGACAGTTAATTAATTGGGCAGAAAAGCAAGAACTACCTGGTAGCTTCTAACAAAGTAGATCGTGGCGAATCTAGCCCTACGGTACCGGCATGTCTTTAGCCAACGGTCATCAAGCAGCAAGATGATATCTGAAGAATGAAACAAGTACATGTAGAGGGTTACGCATCCCGAGGGAACGGAGTGGCTGGAGTTCCTTTGCTGGCGAACCAATCACATTTTTCTCCCGCCAGGCAGTGTCTTCGACCGGCGGCTCCATGGCTGCGAAAACCAGAGAGGTCATCAGTAGTTGCAGCAAAATGCAAAACGTTGTCCTTCTACTAAGATACGAGACAGTCGGCTGGCCTCTCCGCGCAGCATTCTGGCTCACAATACGGTAGCGTTCACCAACCAACCAAAAATCCAGAATGATTCAATCACAATGGAAGCCTTTTTGGATCTTTGCCGCTTCACTGTTTTATTGTTGGACGTCATTGGGACAGCAAAGCTGTCCGTTTAGTTTTTGTGAAAAAGCTGAATTTGACGGCTTTGTTTTCAATTGCCTCTTTTGAAAAGTGAAAAAGTACGATCCACAAACAGTACCGATATTGCCTCGGCAACCATTGGAAGGCCAAACACCACCAACAACAGCACCACCACCCGAACAAGGCACCATCTATCTTTCTCCTCTCTCTCTATCTCTACTACACCATACTTCATCAGTAGCTACTACTAGCTAGTTAACTAGTAGATCCTCCCATGCTGCAACTCCAATCCATATCTGAGATGTTGGAAGAGGGAGGCGTTCGGCTTGTCGTTGCCTTTGTGTGTTCCTTTTTGATCCTTTGCTTGTCCCCGTGGTTGTTGCGGCCGAAAAGAGACGCGGAGGAAGAGCGCCACAAGCACTACACTGCTAGGCAGAGTATGAGCGAAGACGACAACGATGATGACGATGATGACAACCACAACGATTGGACATCTTCGGCGGCGGATCAATTGGTGGAAGATCTCCTCTCTCGTGTGGGTGCTAGTACAGTGACCGCTACCACAGATGGTTTACTGGAGGATGCTGCTTCGGTGTTTGGTATTAGTCGATCATCAACAACAGCATCACATGCACATGTAGTAACCCCACTACTACTACCACTGAGACGATCCATCAGTCTCCCCCGGAAATTAGACACTTCCTTCTTGTCGCTTCCCCCCGCCAGCCGCGACACGTTGGCTCGTCCTTCGCGACTCCAACTCCGGACTCGATCCGTCGATGCCTTGACGCGATTTCCGCACAGTGAACAACTCGCCGTCTTGGATACGGCCAATCGTCGACGATCTCGACTCGTCATGGATCTACTCTATGCCGCGTCCAATAACAACAACAATCATGGATGGCAACAACCACGACGGGCTCCTCCTCCCGTGCCACCGCAACCACGATGGCGTGCCGCACGACACTTGGCGGCTCCTCGTCATCCTCATTTGGCGAGACCGCATCACCGTCGTCGAGTAGTACCCGATCGTTGGGCACCACCCCCGGATCACGTGCGACTGCAATTACTCATGGCGCGAGAACAAGCTTTTTTGGCATCGTCCGCATTGCAGCAACAACAACAACAAGCATCCGTGGACGGAGAATCATCCCTAGTAGTGGATACGACATTGCAACGCAATCTCAAACCCATTCAAGGAAATGATCCCGATTGTACCAGTTTTACACAAATTGTCTCTTCCGATGAAGGAGCCCAATTATTGGCGACGGCATTGGAACACAATACAGTCTTGCAGACACTTCATTTGCATCCGTCCGGATGGAAAGATTTGGGTATGATTAAGAAAATTGCCAAAATCATTCGTCAGCATGTTGCGCTAGAGGAAATTCATCTCTATCAAAACAACAACAATGAACGCCAACAACACAATTTTGTCTCGCAATTGGCATGGGATATACTCATTCAAGCCATGCATCGGAATCCACACATTCAACAGTGGGGACTCCATTTTGCCGCGTCGTCACTGGAACAAGAAACCATTACCGATACCCTCTGTCACTGCATTGCCACGTGCACCCATCTAAAGACGTTGCACATTATTGACGAACAGTATCGGGGATCCATGGTGCTCACAACCGGCAACAACAACAAGACAAACAACAATACTAATGCGTCGCCCCATTGCAAATTGGCGCGTGCCATTGCCCAAGCTACAGCACTTCAAACATTGCACCTCCAAAAAGTGGATCACTCGTACATGGAGTATCTCTTTCGAGAATGCGCTCGTTCTACATCATGTCTGCAAGCACTTCACATTGAATCGACCAGTCATGCCGGCACGGCAGGGCTCGAAACATTTCTTACACAGCCAAGCTGTCAATTGAAAACGCTCCAATTGAAACACGTGCAGACATTTCAACGGGTGCACATGGATCAGCTCGTGGGCGGATTGACAAACAATAAGACGGTCAAACATATTGCCTTTATGGATTGTGGATTCCACCCCGAAGTCGTACGGCCACTTCAAGATTTAGTCCGCAAACGATTGGATTTGGAATCCTTTCAATTAACACGGTGTCAAGCCGATCCGACCATGGCTGTATTGACCTGTTTTCAAAATAATCATTCCCAGGTGGCGTCCATTACCATGGGATATTCGTTGGGGATTGAGGATCGATTGGGAGGAGATGCCATTCGCAGCGTGTTGCGGTACAATTCCACCTTGCAATCCTTGAATTTGACGGGAAGTCATCGACTCGGGCAAGTGGGCCTGCGGCATTTGGCACGTGGATTGGGTAAGAACTCGACACTTGCGAAACTGGATTTGTCGCATTGCAGTGTGCCACTGCCATCCTTGGCGCTCATGATTCAGCACGTTACCGGGAATCCCACTTCCGCACTGTCGAGCATCAACCTGAGTCACAATTCGCTCAGTCAAGGAGGAGTGCGGTTGTTGGTGGACGATTGGTTGTTGCATCCCAATAGTCAGTTGCGAGAACTCATTCTCAATCGGTGTGACATGGTCCCGGAAGCGACATTGATGCTGATTCGGGCCATTTCCAACAACACGACACCGTTGGAAGTCCTCGAAATGATGGAATGCGGACGATTGACGGTCAATGCACTGCAAGAGATTGCCGAATCCTTGTTTCGAATGGGGAATCTGCGCGTATTAAAGGCGTCGTGCTTCAAATCGGCCGTGCATACGATTCGTCCCGTGCCAGCACACGCCGCAGCTCCGCCTGCTGCTGGCAATAATAACGACAACGACTTGCTCATTGCTATGAATGACGACAGCGACGATGAAGACGACAGTGACTTGGAAGATGATCCCATCGTCGTTGCTGCTGTGGTGGAAGCAGTGGCCAATCGAAATGCCAATGCTCACCTTCACAATATTCAGCAGCAGCCGGAACCAGCCATGACGGGTTCCATGAGGCTGCTACGGGAAACATTCTTGGCAGGATTGATCCACAATCAACGACTGGAGCACATTTCTCTGGTGAATGTACTGGAATGCGTCATGAAGCCAAAGGATGCCGCCCGGGTCCGCGCTTGGATGGATTTTTGTGGCAAGCGGAATTGTTTGCAGCCTCTATTGCAACAGTCCGAAATCCCACTTCTGGAGATCCTGTTAGATATCGTGAGGGAATGTCGGGATCCACGAACTCGCAACCTGAATGCAACGGGGCTCTCCCTCACGTACCATTGCCTGTGCAATAGACCGGATGCTTTGGATAGGGTTCAGCGCATGTTGACTGAAGCCGAGCGGTTGGACGAAATGAAAGTATCTTCTGACGGTGGTGTGCCTCTGCAAGGTTGAGTTGTTATCCAACACATCTTGGGTGCTACAATTAATTGTTTGTTATTCTTATACGGTACGAGGTACATTGTAGACTACATGTGACTCTTGTCCGAAGAATAGCTCGATCGCTTGATTGCATCATCGAAGCAATACCGGTAGCCAGATAGGATCGTGAGAGATCCAAGGGGGGATTGCTGGAGGTTCGACAGCTTTCTCCCCTGAGGAAACCTGGCTCTCTTGTCCAGTTCATTCAAAGCTGTGCACCGGACAGTCGAGCCAGCCACAGTTGGTGTGATTTGAATCATTCTGGTGGATTGGATGAGTTCTTGTAATTGCTTGGCAGCTTGTTCATGAATTCCCTTGAAAACATGTTGGAGGAGTGGGAAAGGGAAGTGGAGGTCCGAATTTGGTGCTCTGAGCCATGAAACCGGCATACCCGAATGATTCAATCAAGTCTATTAATTTTGATGAAGAATGCAATCAAACAAGCTTCACTACCCCCGTCACAAGACTTCTGACGGGAAGATGGTAGCATGACACCGTTGCGATGATTGGATCGGTATCACAATATGCAGAGAGACACATGTATCAGCAAATGATGGAGGTGGTACGTGCCGATTACCCGAGCTCCAACACCGAAGTGAATTGTGGACTCAGCACCAAAGTGTGATAACAGCAGAGTCTTTGTAGGAAGAGAGCGGCCAGAGAAAAGAGGCGCAAGGCAACAATTGAAGTGTGATCCTCCATTGTTTGACAGAATAATACAAGAAACAAAACTAAAGAGTTGTTGGTTGGGCAGTCATTTTCGATGGTGTCATGATGTAGTGGTTGTGCAGTGTATGGCGGATGTTCCCATTTGGTGGGTTTGTGGTAACTGAAATGTTGCGGGGTTTTGTCAATGTAACCCTGCATTGAGAAGCCATAAGTGTAGTTCCATTTCATTTGCATTCTGCTGTACAGGGCTCCTGTACCGGTACAGTCAGTTGTGATGGTGTATATTTGCGTAAGGATGTGTGCAAGATGCTTGGTATGTTCTTCTCCAAAGTATTTGACACCACAAACATCATCGACAGTGAGGACGAAGGCAATGGGGAGAGTGCCGTGTTTGAAGAGGGCTGGAGCACTTGTGCAAGGTAGGAGACGAGGATGCCATTGTCAACACATCCGGCTTGGGGAAGCCCGTACATTCCTCACGCCTCTGTTGATAGCCATGATAAACAGACTCCTTTGTGGCAAAGAAATATGTTCTATTCGTGGAGTTGGGAGTGTGGTAGATATCTTCGGAAGTGTACAAACTCCCTTATTCTTTCTGCTATGTTTACCCTTTTCATAACTGTTACATTTGTCAAATCGCAACCGCTATGACTGGCAAGAACAGCGGTAGGGAATAAGGAGGCAATGGAGATTTCAAAGAAACAGAAAACCTTGAAATGATCTTCCTTTCTAGTAGCTATGGTGGTGAATGTTGTTCAAAGCTTGTGAGTTGTTGTGTGAGCACCTTGAAAGTGACTGAGAGTTAGTTAGTTAGTTCAATGAAGGATCACGACTTCCAGCCCAACATGAGCTGGGGAGCAAGTGATGGCAACTAGGGGGGCCTCTCACAACCTACTAATAGCTCCGGTAGCAAGCCTGAGATAAAAACCTGGGTATCTCTGACCGATTGACACTCGACAGTGGTGGAGTGAGCTACGGTGTGGAGGTACCGGTACCGTACCGTTTCCCAAGTGGAAGCGTGGTGTCATGTAGCGTGGATACTGTACCAACGGGTTGCGCGGGAAATGCGGGCAGGGTACCGGTAGCGGTAGCTGGGGCATCATTCGTGCGTAGAAAGACTCGGATCTTTGCCCAAATTAGTAAAAGGGGTTTAGAGTAGGGAAATTATCTACGGAAGCCAGCCGGGGCCAGGCTTTGGTGAGCGAGCCAATTTTTGAAGAAAGTCATGCAGATGGTCAATTGAGCCTCCACAATGGCGTCTTGTGAATCGAATCAAGAAGGGAGCAATGCTTTATCTTCCGTTCGCAGCAGGATTGCTGCTACTGGTGGCATCATCAGCTGCTGGAGATGGTGGCGCTTCTCTCCTCCGACCAAGCAACCGCAGAGTGCAGGAAGATCCTTGCGCCGTTTCTTTTGATGAAGCCTCCGTGGCTGTCCCAACACTATCTGCTGCTTTCATGTTGAAGCCTTCCTATGTCACTGAGTGCTTTGCCAGCATTCCTGTCAATAGATCGCTTGCACTTGAACACATTGAAAGCTTGAGACGAACCTTTGAGCAGTACTATTGCTTTTACGATATCGCCAATGACGCCGCCGACAGCAACCCAATCAGCTTCCAAGAAGAACTAGGGTACTCCCTGTTTTCAGGCCCTCTGGAAGGACAAGTCAACCTAGAGGAAGAGCTCACCTCATTGCTCGATACCGTCGATACCGAGGGGGCTACCATGGCTACATTTTTTGACATTCAAACAATCTTCAATAAGCTCTACGATGCTCATGTCAGTTTACCCATGCTGGCTGGTGACCTAGGGACACTGACAGGGTTTCATGACATGTACGTCTTCCCAGAGAGAAACTTGTTGGGCACGACCTACAACCAAATCTTGGCTTGGACTCCGCAATACAATGATGCGGGAGACCTGGAGCTCTCTATCACCTTTGCTGGCAGTGATGGGAACGAGATGCCTGAGAACATTGTTTCCATTGACGGAATGACACCGTATGAGTGGTACTACGACTTGGTTAGCAAGCCAGAGCCTTCAGTGGTGTGGCCGTACCAAGCCATTGGAGCAAGATTGAATGGGGCTTTTTCTTTCCTTGAACCCAACTCTGGAGTGGATGCCTTTAGAATTGTCACTAGGTCGCGGCCAAGCGCCACCCTTCCCGATAGTTTCACCGTCACGTATGCCACTGGAGAGGTGGAAACATACTATGCAGCACTTGCCTTTCGCGGGCTCAATGCAACACAAGCATACGATTACGTGAACAGCAGCCCCGTTTTCCTCACACCTGGTTCCGCGTTTACCAACTTTGTTCTTCTCGCTCTCACTGTCAACGAGACGGTGGAAGAGAAAAGCGCACCACATGATTTGAAACCGGCACCCAAACGGAACGAAATCGTCCCCGAAAAAATCAAGACGACAAGATCAAAAAAAGCTGCAAGTCAATTCGTTTTTGAAGAGACAATCCCATTGCGAAATGCACAGACTCTAGCCATTGAGGATATGGCGGCGTTTTCGATTGAGGATGACTATGCTGTGCTCAAAATACAGAAGTTCATTTTTGACATAGACCTGCAAGGAAACAACTTTGCCATGGTTGAAATATGGTCCAACTTTACTGCAGCAGCAAAGGCAAAAGGAATCCGAAGAGCGATGGTAGATATCAGTGGCAATGGCGGTGGCGTTGCTACCTCTGGAGATGCTCTGGCAATTTCCATGTATCCCTTCATTCCATACGAGTTCTTTCAAGATCAGGTAAGCTCGGGTCCACCTTGTCTTTGGTCGTGCGCGTTGAACAAACGATAGAATCATTCTCATCATCAATCTCCGTCTCGCGTGAATTCTCAAAGTACGATCAAACGTACAATGAAGTCATGAGGGCCACCCACTTGACAATCTTTCCTTTCCTGGAAGAGCTAGCCGTAACCATTCGCGGTTACTCGAATGCTTTCCTTCAAGAGTATTTGGATTCCCTCCCTGAAGACATCAATGGAAGGATTCAGTCACTTCTGTTGTCTCTGGCAAGCTTTTGCTGCAACACACAAGACCTCACCCAATGCAGAGACCCACGATGCCTGCCAATGGGAGCTCTAATCGAGTCACTGAATACACTTGATGAATTCCCCACCGGTCCTCAACTGAGAATAGTCTGGAACGTGCTGCTACAAAATTTCGCCGCCTTTAATGCTTTCAATACACTTTTCTCTCTCCAACTTGATCGAGTTGACCCGCAGCAGTCCTTCGAAGTCATCCGTGGGGGCGAAATGCATAACTTGACAAACAGATTCCCATTCCTGACAGAGGCAGAATACTACGAAATCGTTGCTCGCGCATTCCAGAATGACTGGCAATTTGACGAGTATGTCGTTGTCTCCGATGGGACAGCTGGGTCTACAACGGCAATCTTTTCTTCCCGAGTGCAACAACTGTGGAACAATCGGGACACAATGTGGAACAATCGCGATGTACTCCCTGTCCCTCTCACCGCCGTTACGTACGGAGGCACAACGGACCCGTCCGATACTACACTAGCAGGATTTCCTGCTAGCGTACAAGGTGTCAACATCGGCGTTCCGATCATCACCGCAGGCTTGCTGTACCTGCTAGAATTCGTTTTGCCTCCTGACCAGGCAGCTCTTGTCAGAGTCATCAACGAAGACGTCTACCAGCTTACTTTACCAATCCCACCCTATTTTGCAGAAGGCCAGCCGTCACTTCCCGTAATCAACTACTACAGCAGGTTCATGGATCCGGGAGCGACCCCCCTCCAATTCGTAAAGATACCGAGCGACGAGTAAGGCAAAACTATGTTGACTTGTTCTTGCCCGTGTCTGTGGATTTTCATGATGTGAGCCTCACGTCACTTATTTGCTACTTACATTTCAGACATATCCAGAAGGTCTTCACGGGAAACAGTTTGGACGACCCAAGTGACTTGGGTGCCTTGTATCGCGCTGCAGCCAAAGTTGGTTTTTCATCTACCGACACACCATTGGTTCCAGAAGAAAGCGAGGACGAATCATCAGCTGCTCCGGTGCTGGAAGAAAGCGAGGACGAACTAGCTACTTCCGGACCAACCGAAAGCAAGGATGCAACTTGAACTGGTGACGATGAAAGTCACGACATGTATGTACCGTGGAAAGGAAATTGATAGAGGAAACTAAGTCTAGTGCCTTGCTACCCGCTACCGGTATGCACTGGAAAGCGAATAATGCTTTAGCAAAGAAATGTCTAAAACTTGGTAGCACGTCTGTTGCACTCATATATTTGCAACCATGGGAGTCCATGAATCTCCCACTACCGGAACCGTAACCAGCGAAGCCTCGTTGTTTTTGTGGCTGTAGTGAAGAACAGGGAGTCGAGTCTGATCGATTCGATTCGTGCTTGTATCATATCACTCACAGCGCCAACCCCAGCACAACTACTACCAGCAAAGATTTCACAGAGGCCATTAGGATTGTTGTTGCTGCTGCTGATGTTGTTGCAGTGGCGACAAATACTTCGGATGCGGTCTTGCAGCATTGGTCTGCCGTGGACAGCAGGAGGTCACAGTTTGCTTGACTCTGAATCATCTCCAGGAGATAGGAACTATCTCCACAAGTAATTCCAGTGTTTTCATCCAATACCTTACTCAGATTGGCCGCGGGTATTCCTGTGCCACTGGGGCAATAGACATCCGAGCAAATTTTGGGGGCTTCACGCCCAGGACATTCACAATAGGCTTGCATATCAATCAGATAGGTCAAAGAGTCCGCTTGTCGAATTTTGGGGCACGCATTGGCAGTCTGAACCTTGTACCAGTCGTTCAATGCGGCACAAGATTGACCGCCATCCGCAAATGGAAATTCCAAAGCTGGATTTGGCTCTCCACCGCCTTCACAAAAGGGACATGGCGGTTCTGCGTCGTCGGCAGCATTGGGGCATCCACACCACTTTTGGTATTTTTCTTGGATAAGAGGACAAGTGATACCATCATCGGTATCGGGCATTTCCAGAATATCTTTGCATGTCAACCCGCCGCCATCGGGCGAATCAGGAAGGGCCAACCCAAGATTGGCGTATTCATTGCTATTGGCATCACCACAAAGATAGCAAGTATCAAACTGCTGATCGGAAGCGCATCCACAAAAATGAGCCCCTGATGTTCGATGCAAGTAGCACGCCTCTTCTCCATCAGGTGTGGTGGTACTGGCAAAGCCGTGCCAGTCGGAACACGGGATGCCACCAAAGCTAAGAGAAGCGTCAAAGGCACCTCCGACGCAAACATCACACGGTGGCGGTTGTTGCTGATCTTGTGCTCGAGCACAGACAAGAAAAAGAGAAGACAAAGCGAGTGGGATGGCTTTCATCATCATGATTTGGTGTGTGCTTGGGGTAAAAGTAGAGCACCCACAAAGTCGATCAGGAAGGATTGTTTTTGCAAAGGCATCGTTCTCGCAAATCTGGCGATGTTCTCTCGCACTGCTGCCAAAAAGATTTAACGGAGCTCACAAAAGATGTCGATTTGCGACTAAAATTGAGTCACGAGACTGAATGATCCAATCGATCGCGATCGATCGAACCAACATGGTACCGGTACCGGTACGAGACGTGCTTCGTCACCAAAGTGTACTGTACTAGACAGGCTCCCAAAACAGTAAGTTTCAGCATCATAAAATGGAAGCTCAGGCACCCCCCCCCCCCACCTGGAAGAGGATCTGGTGGTGGGCTCGGTGGAGGGTGTTAAAAGGCGACAAGAGGAACCCAAGGAAACAAACGTGTCAATAAGACCTCGGTGGGGCCATTTCTCGATCCGGAAAAGCAGCTTCCCGAAGAGCATCGTCCACCAAATTAGTCAGCTTCCCATGAAGTCTTGCCTTCGATGCACATTGCTTTGGCAGCGCAATCGATAAGTGGACTCTCAAGTGGGCTAGCTAGTCAGAATGGCTGTCCATTGGTGAAATGGGCAGAGTTCACGTGGTTGGGGACATTGAAATCTTGGTGTGGGCTTGTGAACGTGTCAATTCAATTCCCCTTGGGATGCTTCCGTTCGAGTCGTGTCGTCGGCGGGTTCAGGAAAACACACCATGGATCCATGAATTCGTTCAACAAAACTACTAGGTGTGCGCCTCATCACGCTCCCCCAGCCGCCCGGATACCGGTACGGTAGACCGCCGACAACACTAATTCATGAAGTACTGCATACAAACGAATCTATTATTTCCTTGACGACCCAAACGTTCCCACTGAGGAAATTTATTTGTGGACGCACTTCTTCAAAACTAACTATTCAAAATTTCAGCTCCAATGATATCAAACCACCGCTGCCACCACGGCTGATATGCTCTCCATGACCGCTGTCACCACTTCGTTACTGCTCGCATCAAAGCAGGCAGTAATGATCACCAACAATGTGACAAGGCCCACATCCACACTAGGACCAAATATCTCTACATCATTCTTCTCCCCCCAGTACCTCCAAAGAGCCACATCTTCTCCCGTTTCCGGGTTGGTGCAATACTTTTCCAGGGACAATTTGGGACCCGATCGTATTTGAAAGATTTGTTTGTTTCGCAGTTGAAACACCCCGATTTGTTTTCCTTGGCGTCGGACTCGAGTGTGCAAATAGAGCGGGGTGTTTTTTCCATTTCGACGAAGATGCTCGGTAGCTGGTTGTTGTCCCGGATAATTGGGTTCCGTTCGAAAAATGTAAAAGGTGCGACCACAGGGTGAACGCTTGGCCACTCCCAAGATCTTGTCACCGGATTGGAGCACCAATTTTCGCTTGCGGGTGTCAACACTCAACGACGACGATGCCGGCAGATTGTGGGTGGAAATCAGTTTCTTGTCAAACCGGGAGAGGGAAAACTGAATACTATTAGTGTTTGTCGGCTCTGTTTCTGCTTGCCATAATGGTGGAATTGACGCGAGGTCCTCGGGGACATGAGGATCCTCCTTGACGGATGAGTGTGAACTTCCCATGGTCTTTGCTTTTGGGTGTTGTGCTCCCATCCCCATCCATGCAGACTTGGCGATGATCGTCACTGAATGCCAAAGTAATCAATCGCCCACCTTCCCAGACAGGGAATGAAGAGATTCTACAGAACGGAGAGTATGAGTTAACAGGGAGCCGACCATAAGGGAGACTGACGGACAGGAATACGGGAGAGCCACTCATCCAAGGGATGAGGTGGTGGACCGAAGTGTCGGGTGCACAGGTGGTGTGCCTATGTGGTGTTGATGACTAGCTAGAAGGACTACTAATCGGGCGGCTACAAATCAGGTTCACTTTTTCTGAACCAGAGTTGCAGCCGCTCCACACCAATTTTCCTTTTTGACTGGGGGTAATTAGTGGAGCGTCCGCAACCTGAAAAAAGTATCTGCTGCCCGAAAGTGACCGCCTCTCTCGCCAAACCTTACTCTGAAAAAAAGTAAGCATGGACTTAAGTTTGATGACGCCAGCGGCGGTCACACAGTGTGACTTCCTTAGGGTCCGGTGTCGGAGATGGCGGGGTTTTGCACACCGGCCGATGGTGTGTCAAGGAGATGTTTTGTCGAGCCGATTCGTCATGAAAGGTACCGTCTATGTTTTTTTCAGTGACCGTGGTATCGAGTGTAACCGAGCCGGTCACCGAGGAGCTACTCGTCCAACCAGGTGGGGTACCCTTTGAAGGGGTGCTTAAACGCAATGACAAATACTTTGACGGAATCGCTAGTGCTCGTCTCGTTAGATACGGCGACTATCGAAGATGTCGTTTTCAGCGCGACACCTACTTTCTCTGTATCCGTACGG